CCGCCACCCTCGGTATATGGGGCCGGCGCCCCACTCACTGAGCCACAGGCGCCTCCCGATGCCACACAACTCTACCAAGAGCAACAAAAAAAAACTCCTGTCTCAAAAAAAGAAAAAAAAAAAGCATAACTGGGGAAAGTTATTTAGTGGTCTTAATGTTTAAAAAATGTTTTCTTATGTATATAGATCCAACATTTAGTTTAATGTTTGACGGTTGCTTTGAAGAAATCAATTTCAGTGCTCCTTCCCTGGTAAGTTTTGAATTTTAATGATCATAAATTACATGTAACAATTATTTAAAAGGTGATTTATTATTTTTCCTTTTTTGTATCTATAACTGAAGATTGTTACAGATACAAAGCTTGTGGGGTGTGTTAAATTTTGTTATAATTTTAAGATGTAGTTGCTAAAGATATTTTCAGATTTTTAAGTTTTAGGAAACTTACTGCTTTTTTGCTGTAAAACGGATTTTTTTTTCAAACATACACATTTTCACTGGACTCTAGTGTTCACTGGGTTTTTTTCTAGTAACAGTAGTTTATTGAGGTAAAACTTAAATACAGTAAGATGCACTTATCTCACATGTGTAACTTGAAGAATGTTAACATATGCAAAAGCCACGTGATCAATACACAGATCACCACGTAGAGCCTTTCCATCACTTCCGGAAGTTCTTGTGGTCCCTTTGTAGTCAGCATCCCCTTCCCCATCAGAAGTAGCCTTTTTTTTAATGATGAATAATGCACTTTATTTTACTTCTACAAATTTTTTGTTTGTTTGTTTTGGAGACAGAGTCTTATTATATGTCGCCTTTGGTAGAGTGCGATGGTGTCACAGCTCACAGCAACCTCAGACTCTTGGGCTTAAGCGATTTTCTTGCCTTAGCCTCCCAAGTAGCTGGGACTACAGGCGCCCGCTACAATGCCCGGCTGTTTTTTGGTTGTAGTTGTCATTAGTGTTTGGCAGGCTGGATTCAAACCCACTAGCCTCAGTGTATGTGGCTGGCGCCCTAGCCGCTGAGCTATAGGCGCCAAGCCTTTCACATCTTTCTTTAAACTTACTCTTAGGCATTTGGTATTTTTAGTGCTATGATTTTATTCTTTTTCAAATTTTGCTTTTTGTGTTTTTTGGCAATTATTTACAAATAGTAGTGATTTTTTTTTTTTTTTGGATGCTGACACTGTTATTCATGACATTTTAACAATTCACTGATTAGTTCTCGTTGTTTTTCCTTTATGTACTTTCCTGGCCTTATTTGCCAGAATTGAGCTACAGTATTATGTTGAAAATAGTCATTCTTGCTTTGTTTCTAATACTTCCAGGATCATTTGTGTTCTTTAAAATGGACACCCTCTGAAGCCAGGAGGTTGAGACTAGCGTGGGACAACATAGTGAGAGCCAATCTCTACAAAAAATAAAATAAAAAATTAACCGGGCATGGAGCCGAGCACAGTGGCTCATACCTGTAATCCTAGCACTCTGGGAGGCCGAGGAGAGTAGATTGCCTGAGCTCATGAGTTTGAGAGCAGCCCGATCCAGAGTGACACCCCTTCTCTACAAATAGCCAGGCGTTGTCGTGAGCACCTGTAGTCCCAGCTACTTGGGAGGCTGAGGCAAGAGAATCACTTGAGCCCAAGAGTTTGAGGTTGCTGTGAGCTATGACTGCTATGGGCACTCTTCTGAGAGCAACAAAATGAGACTCTGTCTCAAAAAAGAAAAAAAATTAACCAGGCATGGTGTCAGGTGCCTGTAGTTCCAGGTACTCAGGAGGCTGAGGCAGCAGGATCACTTGAGCCCAGGAATTCAGTGCTACAGTGAGCTATGATGACACCACAGTACTCAAGCCTGGGCAGCCAAGACCCTGTCTCAAAATTTGTTTTTAAATTTCTCTTTAGTTATTTTAGTTTCAGCTGTGCTGCTTTTGATCTCATGCATAAGAAGTTCCAGCGTCAGCCAGTAATTTGAGTCTTTTAAGCTAGAATTTTTTGTTTTCTTACTTTCTGGGACCTACCTCCCACTTTCCACATACTGAAATCATCCCAAACTCTATCCTTTGGTTCTTTAAGTGAGTATCTAAATTTCTGTCTGAGTTGTTTTTTGTTTTTTGTTTTTGAGACAGTCATTTTGTCACCCTCGGTAGAGTGCCATGGTGTCACAGCTCACAGAAACCTCCAGTTCTTGGGCTTAGGCGATTCTCTTGCCTCAGCCTCCCAAGTAGCTGGTACTACAGGCACTTGCCATAACACCTGGGTATTTTTTTGTTGCAGTTTGGCCAGGGCCGGGTTTGAACCCGCCACCTTCAGTATATGGGGCCGGTGCCCTATCCACTGAGCCACAAGTGCTGCCCTCTATCTGAGTTTTACTGCTCCTACTGCAGCATGCTTTCAAAAATCAATTTGAAAGTGGCGGCAAAGGGGAATCTGAGGACTAAGAATCTCCCTGGGCCATTTGCTTTGCCCACATGTTGATTTCCCCTACAGTTTCTACCTGCTTGTATTTACTCTCTTGTGACTTACAGTAGCTTATGGCAGGATTTATCTGAGAGCAGCTTCTCTTTCATTATTGAAAGCAGAAGTCCCAGAAGTAGGCAGAAGTAATGCCTATCTATAGAATAAAGTCAAACATTTCATAGGAATAAAAAAGTTTTTGTTGGCTCAGCACCTGTGGCTCAAGCAGCTAAGGCGCCAGCCACATACACCTGAGCTGGTGGGTTCAAATCCAGCCCAGGCCCGCCAAACAACAATGATGGCTGCAACCAAAAAATAGCCAGGCGTTATGGGGAGCACCTGTAGTCCCAGCTCCTTGGGAAGTGGGGGCAAGAAAATCGCTTGAGCCCAGGACTTAGTGAGCTATGATGCCACGGCACTCTACCCAGGGTGACAGCTTGAGACTCTGTCTCAAGAAAAAAAAAAAAGTTTCTGTTTTTTGAGATAGTCTTACTCCATCACTCTGTGTAGAGTGCCATGCATGGTGTCACAACTCATAGCAACCTCAAACTCCGGCTCAAGCGATCCTCCTGCCTCAGCCTCTTGAGTAGCTGAGACTACAGGTGCCCACCACAATGCCCAGCTAGTTTCTCTATTTTTAGTGGAAAGGATCTCATCTTGTTCAGGCTTGTCTTGAACTCCTAAGCTCAAGCAATCTACCCTCCTTGGCTTCCCAGAGTGATAGGATTACAGGTGTGAGCCACCATGCCCATCCCAAAAATAGTTTTTTTAATTGCCTTATTTAGTATAGTGGAGATGCTAATAGTATGAAATCTATGAAATGTAAATATAATTTTATTTGTTCTAGTTTTCCAAGGTAAAAAACTTTTTATAGACGACAATGGTAATGGAATTGTATTGTTATAAAAAATGATAGCAATGTTACTGACACGCTAAATAAAATGAGAAAATTCACTTTGTCCATTTAGTCCCAACAAATCAAATGTTTTTCAATTTTTTTCCCTTGTATTTCCTCTTTAGATATATATATATGTGTTTATGTACTCATTGATAGAATTTTCCAGCTCTGGTTTTTAAAAATAATGTATTTTTCAGTGTTATAGTAGTCATATTTATAATTTGGGTGGCTGTAAAATATTCTTTCAAGCTGTACTATGACTTAAAATCCTAAAGGATTTTTTTCCATGTATGTAAAACTGCCCCTATGTTCAGATCGGAGAATCTCCTGCTGTGTCTGTTAGCTCTGCAACTAACCAGGTTTCTCTCTGTTTTTAAGCTGAATGTTGCCAGCTACCTACAAATGATCTGCTTAACCGAGAATTTTAGAACTGATATAAAAGACTTTGTAACCTTGTTAACTGCAAATGCTTGTGATATAAGAAAAAGTATCCTCTACTTACAATTCTGGATTAAAAGTGGAGGTGGATTTTTAGAAGAAAGGCCATTGACACTCTGCCGTAAGTTGACCTGTTATAAAAGAAATCTCTACCGTGGAACCCTATTTTAAAATCTATGCTTGGGTGGTGCCTGTGGCTCAGTGAGTAGGGCACCAGCCCCATATATTGAGGGTGGTGGGTTCAAACCCAGCTGTGGCCAAACTGCAACAAAAAATAGCCAGGTATTGTGGCAGGTGCCTGTAGTCCCAGCTGCTTGGGAGTCTGAGACAAGAGAATCGCCTAGGCCTAAGAGCTGGAGGTTGCTGTGAGCTGTGATGCTACGGCACTCTACCGAGGGCAACAAAGTGAGACTCTGTCTCTAAAAATAAATAAATAAAATAAAATCTATGCTTATAGAAAATATTTGAAAGATTATAAAAATTTTGAGCATCTAGTTTTTATGATAATTTTAAAAATAAATATATATGCCAATTTTATTCATGAAAAATCTTATAAACTTTAAATTTGGGGTACATAGAATTAAACTTGGCCTGGAAACATGGATTATTCTCCGGGCTATACTGTTTTAATCTCCAAAATTCAGTTTATCTCTTTGATCCTCTTTATTCACTTTGAAAAATGAGAGGTTAGGGTGTGGCGCCTGTGGCTCAACGGGGTAGAGCACAGGCCCCATATGCCAGAGGTGGTAGATTCAAACCCAGCCCCAGCCAAAAAAAAAAAAAAAAAAAAAACCTTCAAAAACAGGAGTGTCTGTTTTATTCAGTGCTCTATCCCAACATCTAGAACAATGCCTAGCACATAATAGGTGGTCATTATATACTTGCTGAATAAATAAATGTACATTGCAGAACTCTGGCTTCCATTTGGTCTATTCCTGCTGTTTTATTCTTTCTTTCTTTTTGAGACAGCGTCTCAAGCTATTGCCCTGGGTAGAGTGCCGTGGAGTCACAGCTCACAGCAACCTCAAACTCTTGGGCTTAAGCGATTCTCTTGCCTCAGCCTCTCAAGTAGCTGGGACTACAGGTGCCCACCACAACGCCCAGCTATTTTTTGGTTGTAGTTGTCATTGTTTAGCTGGCTGGGGCTGGGTTTGAACCCGCCACCCTCAGTGTATATGGCTGGTGCTGTAACCACTATGCTGTGGGTGCTGAGCCTAATTTTTTTTTTTTAAACAGAGTCTCACTTTGTTGCTCTGGGCAGAATGCTGTGGTATCATAGCTCACAGCAGCTTCAAACTTGAGCTCAAGGGATCTTCTTGCCTCAGCCTGGTGAATGCCTGTAGTTGGGACTACAGGAATTCACCACAACCCTTGGCTATTTTTTAGAGAAGAGGTCTTTTAAAAAAAAACCCAGCTCTTGCTCAGGCTGGTCTCCACTGGTGAGCTCAAGCAATCCACCTGCCTCAGCCTCCCAAAGTGCTAGGATTACAGGCATGAGCCACTACCCCTGGCTTCATATAAATTTTTTGTGACTATAATGTAAGATCCTTTTTAGCTTTAATAGTTTTTAATTCTGTCTTTCCTAAGAACTTTATTATTTCAGAACTGCTTTTATTTTTTATTATTCTCTGATCATCATTGCTACTTAATTCAAGTCACAGACTTTTGGGTACTTTTTCCATGCCAGATCTGTGTTAACATAAATATGACCTTGTTTCTTTCCTGAATATGTTCATAGTTTGTGATTTTCTTGCTTCATTCCTGCAGTTCTTTAGTTACGAATTCTGCTCTGGCAAATACACAGTATTTAAATAAAACTAATGTGAAATTCTATAATATTAATCCCCTTTCAGTTTTTTCCTTTTAATTAGTTCAGAATTTTAAAATATTCTTTTTAAAGTAGACACACCTGGATATTTAATTCAGTGTAAGCTGACTTTAACTATTTTTCAAATGTAAATACACATTCTTGCCAGGCAAGGTGGCTTATGCCTATAATCCCAACACTTTGGAAGGCCAGGGTGGGAGGATTGCTTAAGGACAGGAGTTTGAGAGTAGCCTGAGCAACATAGCAAGACCCCATCTCTAAAAAAATTTTTAAAAATAAATATAATAAGTACTGCATAAGTACTTATTGGAATTGTATAATAAGTACTACATGGAATTGGTTAATAACTATTGCCATACCACCTTATATAAATTGCTATACCCAGAACTTTAGAAGACAGAAACTAAGTGTAGTATAGTTTCTCTTCTTAAAAGATCTTATTTTATATGTATTTTATTCCTGCCTTTTTTAGAAAGCACGGGCACATACTCATTAGAAATTCAAACAATACAGAATTATATAAAGCAGTAGTCTTCAATGTTTTAAATCTCAAGGCATACTTAAATTATGTTGATCAAAAACGAGTTTTAAAAAAAGTATACTTATTGTGCCTTGAGCTTTTTGAAAATAATTTAATTAATAATCTTTAAAAAATTTTGTGACACACCTAAGATCCTCCCATAGCACACATTCACCCCAGTTAAAAATCATTGGTATAAAGTAAGAAGTAAAAGATAGTTCCCTACTTAATCGTAGCTACCATTAGACCTTTATCTATGCATATAAAATATTGATACATACTTATTTAACAAATTTAACCATGGGCAGCATCTGTGGGTCAGTGAGGAAGACGCCAGCCCCATATACTGAGGGTGGCAGGTTCAAACTCAGCCCCAATCAAACTGCAACAAAAAAATAGCTGGGCTTTGTGGCAGGTGCCTATAGTCCCAGCTACTCGGGAGGTTGAGGCAAAAGAATTGCCTAAGCC